GACAAGATAAGAGCATGGAAGAATAGTAAAACATTAAATGATGGCACCTTTCAATAGTGAAAAATATCACTATAAAAGAAGAAGGCTACCTTAGAAGAAATCATCAGCAAACCTACCACTTCTGAAGAACTCTGAAAGCTCTAAACCCTCCTTTGTATCTTTTAAAATATATTCAATATCCTCTCTGTTTTGTTATATCAAAGCAATATTTGTATCTCAGTATCAAATTCAATAACAGTATTAAACAACATTATTGTAAGTTTTTATATCTCTTTTAAGATATATATCTCTTTATTATCTTTTATCATCATTATTTATTATAAATCAGAATGTTGTGCTCAATCTAGTTTCGTTATACATACATACAACAGTTGCTCTACACGAGCTCAAAATACAAGCTTTCGAATAACAATTACATTCCTTGAAAATTGTAGCCAAATAGTCTTAGACTCATCACTAAAACCTAGACTGACAAAATAATTAAAGCTACAATTTTTCAAAAATATGTCAACTCTGACGTCTCTCAGCTAGACCTTCTAGCTTGAAAAGTAGATGCATTACCTGTCACATCTGCTCACGTACTATAGTACGATAATTGCAAAACACACACACACCAACATAGATAGAATTGCAAGGGTAAGCTTACGAAATGACAATCATGGTTATAGAAGTAAAATGTGAATATAAATATTCATATAGCTCATTATCTCAACATTTTCAGCATACAACATAGCAATGCAACCCATCTAATGCAAGATGTAATAGCTCAGTTTCAACTGGATTCACAGTCCTAATAATCTAGAAGGAACCTACAATTCTCCAATCTTAGAGCGACCTATCTAGTACTTGAATCCAAATATACAACATAATACAACTCAGCATGTTACCCAATCGATACATGCCTACCCTACCTAAATATGTAACTAGGCTCTAGAATGATGAACATCAACATAATAATACAGCTCAATCACAATTATGTATTTAACAACTTAGCAATGTCTAGCAATGTGCATACATTCAGAACAACAACTCAACATTGATAACTCTTATTATAACATCATATCAGCACTTATTCGTTCATTCCATCACACAAGATTCACAGCAGGTGTGAAATATTTCACAATCTTTACTACATATCTCAGCCTACATGTCCCAACACAATAATTCAACTTTCACAATCAATCACATAGCTACTTGGTATTCTACCTTAGAATTTGTCCCTATATCAACTCAATCTCAGCTAAAATGAAATTATACATATAGATATCTCAACATCTAGTGAATAAAAAAGCCAGCTCAGGGAAGTTCCCCTTACCTGGAATAAGATTTCTTAAAACGAAGCTTTCGTGAGTTTCCAAGAAAAAATAAGGCTCTAAATCCTCAAATCTCCCTATTATCACGAAATGGAGAGTTCTGAGAAGAGAGATCAAGAAAGTAGTAAAACTCACCTAGATTTGCACTAGGTAGAAGTTCTTACTTAGATCTGGAAGAAGTTTGGCCTTGAGAGGGTTTTCTTCGAGTGAAAAGGGTGAGAGAACATAGGGGAGGTAAGAGGGGTTGGTGGTTTGATGAGAAAATGAAGTTTTTAGCCTAAAGTTCCCTTAAATACCCCTCTGCTTGTGATATTCTCGCTACAGCGAGATATACTAGACAGTAGAAACCTTATGTTGTTTGTCAATTTTTGTTGCAGCGAGAATCTCTTCGCTATAGCAAGAGAGCTCCAAAATGTCTTGTTTTGGACGACCCATTCTCATTACAGTGAGAAGTATCTCACTTTAGCGATATATCTTGCAACTCGACATCAACTAAAACCCTCTAATTCACACAACATGCATCAAATTTTTACACATCAACCACACAGCTTATACATATATAATTTCAAGCTATTTCACACCGCAACCAACATACAACTTCACATTCAAAGCACAAAGATGCCGCAGTTAAATGGATACTTTATTAGTTTTGAAAGAAAATAGGTATACACCCAACACAAGCCTGACACTACACATTGTAAATCATTAAGACCTGTGTATGTTAATGTGACCTTAGGTCTTGTGTAATAAAAATATATTTTTAAGTTAAATAACTTTTATTTGTGAATTAATTAACTATTTCATTTGTTAAAATATATTATTTTAAATATTTTTTATGTAATTATCAAACATTAATTTGTTAACTAAGTTAAAATTATTTTTTTATCTTACTAATACAAGAATTTATAAATTATCTTTAATTGAATAACTATTTCATTGATTAATCAAAACATCTTCTTTTAAATATTTCTTTCTTGATTATCAAATAATTAAGTTATTAGTTTATTAATTAAGTAAAACCATGTTATTTGCAACAGTTAAATTATATCTTAAACATTATAATCTTATTTTTAAATAAAAATAGTCTTAAAATATTTTTTTTTAAATTTTATAAATTTCAAATTAACGAATCAACTTCATAATATTTTAGATAGAATTATATGACCTTAAATTCTATATTGCACCTGTAAGTATGTAGGAGCAGGGATTAGATCTATCCAGTAAAAAAATTAAAAAAAAATTCCTTCTTTCTAAAATATAAATTAATATTTTTATTAAAAAAAATATTTTCCTTTTTACAAATAAAATTGTAAATAGAAATACATGAACTTCTTACTTAATTATCTCTCAACCAAAGTTTGGAATCATTTAAACTTTTTAAGCACTTCATTTTTTGCTTTAAAGCATAGATTTAAAGTATCATAGAACAATAGTAAATAAAAGTAACAAAATAAAGTGCACTATTAAATGACTTTACTCTTAATGGACTACAAATATCAAAATGCATCAAATCAAACCACTTTGATTTTCTTGAGCGATGATGCTTTTGACAAAATATTTTAATGTGCTTACCAACCATGCAATAAAAACATTGTTAATTCAACATTTTTTAATCCTATAAACATGTCCTTTTTGGATAAAATAAAATATTAATAAACTTATGGTCATAGTGAATAATATAAGATCATTATTGGTACTAGTAGTAACACAATTATTATTATCATGATCATTTACCTTCCTTTCTTGCATTTGTTATTATTTTTCCAAATAAGTAATTCTTTAGTAGGTACTCAATTTTGCGATGATAATATCACTTCACATTCTTATATCTTAAATTAGACTTACTCTTGTTTTTTCTCTAATATTTTTTAATTTTGTTTTCTAACTTAGTCAATTAGGGACCAACACCTTAGAATAAAATGTACCTTTTTTCTCATTACAAATACTACCTTTTGCCATTTTCAAAGAGACAATACCATTGGAGGCTCATCTTATAATGGAAAACTTAAATATCTTATAATATTGAAGTAGAGATAGCAATAATAATAGTCTCAAAGTTTCATCATCAAACTTGAGGTCCATTTTTGACATCTAATTAAGGAGCCTTTAAAAATCCTTCAAGTGATTTGTTAAGGGAGTTTCTTTTGTGTACTTCAAATTTATAAAGCAATTCAATTAGTATAATTATTATTTTCTTAACTTAAAGATATTCACAAATTTCATCTTCTCCTACAAAATTCTAGCATATATCTTTCTAGCAATGTGATTATAAACATTGTCATCTATAAATTTTTTAAATAAAATCACACACTTGTTGATGCTTAAAGCCTCATTCTTCATTTGATATGAAATTTAGCAGAAAGATATGAAGATGCTTTTTTTCTTTTACTAAGAGTAAATATTTCATTTTTTCTTTCACATGTGATAAGTTCAAACTAATCATCTTATTTATATTTACTACCATCACTCATGCAAACGAAACACTCCTAAATCAAGGAGCTTGACGCTACTTTGACTTTGACGGAGATAATAATATAATACCAAAATCATAATAAATGCAACAAAAATAAAACTTACCAATTTGCAAAGAATAATAACAAATACTTAGCAAAAAATATGATATCACAAATAGAAAATAGGTATAATTTTTTTTAATATGGACAAACTCTTTGACATGAAAAGTAAAAATGGCCATACTAAAGAAACAACTCCACCATAATCAAATAAGATTACAAAAGAGTTATAGTCAAATATACAAAATAATGATAAAAACCAACAAATAACAATAAAAGTCAAGAAAGATGGGGGAAAAAAAAAAATCATTGTGAGAATGACAAAACTCATTACATAAGTCATCAATTACTAATTTGACCATTCAAATTGAAGAATTACATGGAATAATTTTCTCTTTTAACTAATTAACAATTGTTTTATAATTTTCTTCCATGTTTTGAATTGAATTCAAATTTAAGAATTATATGAAATGATTTTCTCTTTTAACTAATTAATTATTGTTTTATAATTTTCTTCCATTTTGAATTAAATTTTTTATTTGAATTTTTAATTTCTTTTTATGAACAACATAGACTTTTTTTTTTCATACAAAATATAAGTATCAAATTTTAAATTGACTTTAAGCTAAAATTTAAATAATTAAAAATAAATATTTTAATTTTTTTCATTATACATGCATATTTTTAATGTAATAAATATTGAAAAATACACACATTATTTTTAGTTTCTTATACCAATAAATAAATAGAAATATAAATATTATTATTTTTATTTTTATACTTTTTGATTTATTTTTATTTTATGATGGGTAAATCTTGAAATTAGTGTTTATTATTATATGATAATTTTAATTTTAAAGATATTATTTTTTTTTGTTAACATTTAACATTATAAAATAACATTTATTTTGATTTTTAGTATAAAATGATGATGAAAATTATTTTTTATAAAATCAAGATTGTAATTTAAAAAAAATAAATTAAAATACACAACCCATGTAATTGTGAGAATTAGCCTGAGAATTTACTCCAAAATGAGGCGTAAAAAAGAGTCACTTTCTTTATTTTTATTTTTATAAAATAAAACGAAGTTTGGACAAGAAGCTCCCGCCTTTATCTACTTTCAGTTTGATTTGAAATTGGTGAGAAGCAGAGATCAGAATTCTCTCTCTTCATGGCTCCCATCTTCGTCTTCCCTCGCACACTCGAAGAGCTTGAACACGAAGACGAAGATAACCGCCTCTACGTCCACAACCCCATCAACATCGCTTCCTTTCACTCCTCCCAACTCGAAGAGTTCGTCAAAGGTAAACCAAAATTCTCACTCTCAATCTCCTCCTTCCCATTTCCTAAGTAAAAGCCACCACTCTCGAATTCGTTTATTTATTTATGATTATGTAACAAACAAACAGGTGTGTCGTTTGATCTCTCCGACAAGGAAATCCTCTGCGTTGAGGAGCAGGATGTTTTCGACCGCGTCTATTCCTTGCTTCGCGGCTACTCCACTCTCTCTCCTTCCTCCAAACTCAACCTCGTCGAAACTCTCCGTTCCAACCTCACCGTCCTTCTCCCCAACGTCGATTCTCTTTCCAGAGTTTCCGATGACCACATTCCTCTCGCTTCTCATCGCAACGCTTTTAAAATCTACACCTTCTTCCTCGTTCACATTCTTCTCGCTCAAGACTCCGACAATAACAACCACAATGCCAAGGTTTGTTGCCTGGAATATCCACCATTAAAATTAGTCCTTCAAAGATGTGTCCTCAGTCATGTTATTCCCTGAATGATGAGAATTACATTTATTATCTTTCAATGTACATTTAATCGCTAATTTAGTCCTTGAAACGTGTGTTTCATGAGTCTAATGCGTGTTTGGTTCACGCATTATAGATTTTTCAACTTGTTTCCAACTGAAGCAATTTACATTCTGGAGTGTTGAGTATGGTTTTCAATTTAATCAATCAGGCACTAATTATTAACCTTGTATATTTTTTGAGATTATTTGCTCATAGTTAGAAGCGTTCTGTATTGCTATATCTGGGAACCGTGGTTTGTTTCAGGCGGTGGGTGCAAGTTCCAGGAAGAAGCAACCTGCGAATTCATGGAATTGGGAGCCACAGAGAGCTCGGATACTCAATCTCATCGCCAATTCGTTGGAGATAAACCTTGAATTGCTTTTTGGTTCGCCAGAACTGGATGAGGGTTACTTGTCTTTTATTACAAAGTGAGTTTTTTGTGTAGCTTTCTCATTTTGACTAGGGTTGGGAATTTCTGATTTGATCTTCACTTTTTTGTAGAAATGCATTCTATATGTTTGAGAATGTGACGCTCTTAAAAGATTCTGATGCGAAGGATGCCCTCTGTCGTATAATTGGAGCCTGCGCTACCAAGTACCGTTACACTGAACAATCGTGCGCATCCGTTATGCATTTGATTCACAAGTATGATTTTGTGGTCACGCACATGGCTGATGCAGTTGCTGCTGCGGAGAAGAAGTATGCAGATGGAAGCCTTGCCACCTCGCTTGTTAGGGAGATTGGAAGGACTAATCCAAAAGATTATGTTAAAGACACTGTTGGGGCTGAAAATGTGGGTCGTTTTCTTGTGGAGCTTGCTGACCGCATACCGAAATTGATTTCAACTAACATTGGCATTCTTGTTCCTCACTTTGGAGGAGATTCCTATAAGATTCGAAATGCGCTTGTTGGCGTGCTGGGGAAGCTAATGGCCAAGGCATTTAAAGATGTTGATGCTGGTGAAGTGACTTCTAAGTCCATTCGCTTGCGCACTAAGCAAGCTATGTTGGAAATCTTGCTTGAGCGTTGTAGAGATGTTTCGGCTTACACGAGAAGCCGAGTTCTTCAAGTGTGGGCTGAGTTGTGTGAGGAACACTCTATTTCAATTGGCTTGTGGAATAAGGTTGCAGAAGTTGCTGCTGGAAGGTTGGAGGACAAGGGTGCAATGGTGAGAAAATCTGCTTTGAGTCTATTGATCATGATGCTGCAGCACAACCCTTTTGGTCCGCAACTTCGAATAGCTTCATTTGAAGCCACCTTAGATCAGTACAGAAAGAAGTTAAAAGAGCTTGAGCCTCCAGGAGGGGAAGAACCCTCCTCTAATTCTGATAATTTTAATGGTGATGGAGAAGTGGACGATTTGAATTCTGAAACTGTTGCAAAGGAGCCGCAACAAGACAGTTTAATTGATAGTTGCTTGTCCCAAACAGAAGATGCAATCCCTTTGCAGAACAGTAGTGTGCCAGATGTTGGGAACTTGGAGCAGACTAGGGCATTGGTTGCATCGCTTGAGGCCGGATTGAGGTTCTCTAAATGCATAGGAGCCACAATGCCAACACTTGTTCAATTGATGGCTTCATCTTCTGCCACTGATGTTGAGAACACAATTCTCTTATTGATGAGGTGCAAACAGTTTCAAATTGACGGTTCAGAGGAATGTCTCCGAAAGATGTTACCATTGGTAAGCCCTTGTTATTTTTATTGTGACACAAGGTTTTATATTGCAGTTACAGTTTCATTGTGGTTATTGAAAACGGGGAAACTCACAGGCTAATGTGACTTATGTGATTGCAATTGCGGTAGTGATGTGGTTGTAGATCGGACGTAAAACCTTGTGAAACAAGGATATTCAAGGTTTACTTGATTGTTTCTTCAACGTGTTATGAGCTATATACCCCTTGTATGTATGTAATCCTTGATTTTTTCTAAAATTAATTCTTTTTTCTGGCATCTGCTCTTATTTGTAGGTATTTTCCCAAGATAAATCCATCTATGAAGCAGTGGAGAGTGCTTTCCACACAATATACATCAGGAAAAGCCCAATTGAAACTGCCAAGAATCTCTTGAATCTTGCCACTGATTCCAATATAGGAGATCTAGCAGCTCTTGAGTTTATTGTTGGCGCCCTGGTCTCTAAGGGTGACATATCTTCCAGCACAGTATGTTTTTATGTTCCGTCTAGAGTAGCACGTATGCTGCGTAAATTATTTGAATGCCTCTAGATACGACTTAAGATTGATATATTATTTCCTGGAAATATAAGTTTGGCTTCTTTCAGGCAAGAAATGCACCAAGTTTGATGATTCTCTTTTTAAATGTTTAGTGGAATGGAGGCTTTATGTTTTCTTTTTTAGTTTGTATATACAAATTTAAATATGATTTGGTACGAGAAACATTGCTTTTAAATACAGTATATTTACATTGGAAAGTAGGATTCAGATTGTTGAGGCTGACAATGGGCTATGATCTTTTAGTTGAGTTAGTATTGTAGATGCCTTTTATTTCTCCCATCAAAACAAATTCATGCTGCCAGTATATCAAATTTGCTTCTCACCTTTGATTTAATTTCCTTATTACATCTATGGTGTTGCAGATATCAGCGTTGTGGGATTTCTTTTGCTTCAATGTTGGCGGAACCACTGCAGAGCAAAGCCGTGGTGCTTTATCAGTTCTTTGCATGGTTGCAAAGACGTCCACTGGTGTGCTTGGTTCACATTTACAGGACATCATTGATATAGGGTTTGGTCGTTGGTCTAAAGTTGATCCTTTGCTAGCTAGGACAGCTTGTCTTGCTATCCAGAGACTGTCTGAAGATGACAAGAAAAAGCTTCTGGCTAGTAATAGTGTTCGAATATTTGGTATTCTAGAAAGCTTAATCACTGGTATTTGGCTTCCGATGAATATTTGGTATGCTGCTGCTGACAAAGCAATAGCTGCCATATATGCCATTCACCCTACCCCCGAAACCATAGCAGCCAATATGATAAAGAAATCTCTCAGTTCTGTCTGTAATGATGGTGGTGTTAATGTGCTGAGTGACACTGACACTAGTAGTGGCAGTATGTCTATCACAGTTCAAGTAGCAAAACTCAGCAGATGTTTATTTGTCATAAGTCATATTGCCATGAATCAACTGGTATATATTGAATCTTGTGGCCATAAAATTCAGAAGCAGAAACTTCAGAAAGAAAAAAGGGATAGTGAGAATCAGAGCATAGACAGTAATGGCAAGGTGCAAACTGGTACACTTAAGGTGCAATCAGTGTTTCATTCTTACGCTTGTGTCATCCTTGATTGCTTCGAGTCTTAACTATCAGTTGTCGCAACACAGATTTCACTTTTGCTGTCAAATCTATTAAGTTTGGCTTGTTACTTTGTTGCAGGATAATGATATAAATGCAGAGTTAGGATTTTCTGCCTCTGAGGATGCAGCACTTGACGCTTTGTTTGAAAAAGCAGAAAAAGAAATAGTCTCTGGTGGTTCAAATGAAAAGAATTTGATTGGTATCTGTGCAACCTTCTTGTCAAAGCTTTGTAGAAATTTTGGACTAATGCAGAAGGTGAGTACCTTGAAATCCTTGAAGAAATTTAAGTTGTACTGCATTTTTCTTTTCGTAATTTGGTAGCTTTTCTGTATTGTGTATTCTACAAGTTAATGCCTATATATGGAAGCCAGCTGTTATTATCGTCGTATTGTGAAACTAGAAGATGATTTCAAAAGTTAATTAATCTCTTGTATAATATTTTAACACATAAAGTGGAAATATTCTTTGTTTTGTTATGTTTACATGATTTAGTAATATGGTAATATAGCATAACTTTTTCCACTTATCAGTATCCAGAATTGCAGGCATCTGCAATGCTTGCTTTGTGTCGATTGATGATTATAGATGCAGATTTTTGGTGAGTTCCTAGTTAAATTTTTACCTCCTATCCCTCATTCTTGTTCCTAAATAATAGTGAAAATAAATTGAATTGTTTTCAGTGATGCAAATCTTCAGCTCCTCTTCACGGTGGTAGAAAGCTCACAATCTGAAATTGTCCGTTCTAATTGCACGATTGCACTGGGAGATTTAGCAGTACGGTTTCCCAATCTTTTAGAACCATGGACAGAAAACATGTATGCCCGCCTAAAAGATCCCTGTGTATCTGTTAGGAAGAATGCTGTGCTGGTGCTTTCACATCTCATACTGAATGACATGATGAAGGTAGAGGTGACTGAAATTGTTGTATCTTTTTTCAATTTTTACAGTGGTTTTGAAACTGATGCAATCATTTCTTGATCAGGTGAAAGGGTACATTAATGAAATGGCTGTAAGATTGGAAGATGAGGATGAGAGAATTTCAAACCTAGCTAAGCTATTTTTCCTTGAACTTTCCAAGAAAGGTTTTTACAATTTTCTCTTGCGTAGAAAAGTATCTTCTATTAATCTTGATATTGCATAGTTAAGATAGAAAGTAGTTTAATTTAATCATCTGGATTATGACAGGAAACAATCCAATATACAACTTACTTCCCGATATACTAAGCCGATTATCCCAGCAGAATCTGGGCAAGGATTCTTTCTGCAACATCATGCAATTTTTAATTGCTTCCATCAAGAAGGTATATGTTATCTCACGATGTTAAAATTGTTATATATTGATTCTGATTTCCATCCTCACTTTAGTTTCATTAAGTACTCCAGGATAGACAAATGGAAGCTCTGGTGGAAAAGCTATGTAATCGGTTTAGTGGTGTTACAGGTATCTTCTTTTTCCTTTGAAAATTTTTTAGTACTCATTATAAGCAGCCCCTGCTGTAGCTTGCCAGCCATTACTTAACAGTTTCACGAGTTTATGCCTAAAATAGTCTTAACTACTGTTCTAATAGTATCCTTCAAGGGATATTATTTTAATAAATAGCAGATTTTTTGAATCAAGAACCACTATTCTTAAGTCTGCGTGAAATTCTGATCGATCTGTTATCTGTTGAATACACAGAGGTTTCTAATATTTGGTGTTTCTCTTTTTTCTTGGTTTATATTTTGTCACGTCACAAAAGCTCATTGCTTTTGTTCGTTTCAGAATGCCGCCGGTATTTATCATGTTTTCGTGCCTATTCTTTTCCCGCTCAGCAAGCCCTTTAATCTGGTTGATTGCTTTCAAAGTATGCCCAATCATAAGAATCTGAGTCTAAGCATATTTTACTTTCATAGTGTGTCTCTGCTAGTACACAATATTGTGCACATCTTGTAAAGAATATAGACTCAGACTATACTGGTAAAATGCTTTACAATTTTTAACAGAGTAAGTGGGATGCGCTAAACCGTACCTGATTTCGCGTTTGATCAGTCAATGAGTTAAATCATGAGTTTTTTCAGAGTTAGTCTGGCCTTCAATTTTATTTCTTTATTGCCAAGGGCTTTGAAATCAGTTACACAAAACCAAGGGGAGTGAAGTTAATTTTTGTAGTGTAATGCTCATAGTGATTAACTGTGACCTTATTTCCCTGCAGATGTCAGACAATGGGAATATATATCTTATTGTCTCTCTCAGCTATCATTTACTGAAAAAGGGATGAAAAAACTCATAGAGTTATTTACGACATATGAACATGTCTTGTCGGAGGATTCTGTTATGGATAATTTTAGGAACATCTTGAACAAGGTAATTACGTTTTTGTTGCTCACGTGTACTTTCTGTAAAAATGGCTGAGGCTTTTTCTTATTATAATCAGGGCAAGAAGTTCGCAAAAGTTGAGCTTAAATCTTGCATTGAGGAGTTTGAGGACAAATTGAATAAATTTCACGCAGAAAAAAAGGAACAGGAAGTTACTGCTCGAAATGCTCAAATTCATCAACAGAAGATTGGCAGCAGGGAAGGTTTTACTGTGGCTATAAATTCTGAAGATCATACCGAATCTAATACTGCTTCAGGTTAACTTTTTGAACTTTAAACTGTCCAGGTGTTCTGCTTTTGTTTTTTTTTTTCTTGTGACTTTATTAGTACCTTATCATTGATGATAGTAATCAACTAATCATTGCCCGTGGAGGACTTTACTTCGGTAAAAACTCGATTTCTAGCATAACAATTGCCACCTGTAATAATATCTTTCCTCCTGTTCTATTTGAATCCTCTACCACTTTTTATTTGAGTTGTTTAGCATGAATATGATAGCAGTAAGCCTGTAATAAAAAGAGTATATTATAGGAAAAGGAAGAGTGCGCCAGTTAATGTTAAGGCCCAACAGTTAGCTCGTAATTAGGAAGCAGTTACCAGGGGGGTCATAGTTAGGAGAATTGAAGTTTGTAATTGAGTTAGTGTATGTAGGAGAGTTACCAGGATCTCTCCAATATTTTTGGCATTGTATGATAAGAGTCTGCACTTACATCCGGTACAGAACTGTGCTCATTCTTAGTAATACAATTCAATCTTTTTTTCTTTCTCCTTGCTGTACCAGTTCTAAGACTAATGTTAGGATTCAATTGCTAGGTATTGGACCCACATTGGAAGCATGAGATTCAAATGTGGGATTTATAAGGTCTTGGGCTCTCCAACCACAATAGCTAGTTTTTGTGGTGTGGTTCTCCCAAATTTCTCATTAGAATATTATGAATTCGACTAGCTGGAAGCAATTTTAGTAGACAAGGGAAAATTTGCGTTTTTTGGTACACTACTATTATTATTTAGTATTACTTATTGGCAATGATGCTAAATTCACGAACTAAGAATACACTACAAGGAAAATAGTGTTTGATCTGATTACTTGCTATCTTATCCAACGTTTAAATACAACGAATCCAGGCCACTCTTGCACGAAATTGATCTTTTATAAACCCTTGCCTTTTGTTTTCTTGACTTCTGTGGCATTCCGAATTCAACAATGTATAAATGCGTTCTTTCATAGAAATGTATGCAAGTACAAATTGCTAGGATTTTACATGAAACAATAAAGAACTTTTCTCATGTGAGGAATTACACTACCAGTCTTTGCAAAATGATGGAAAAAAGTCAGCCATTAATAATATATTGCAAATATCAATCCACTGACCAAGAGGATAAATATTTAAGCATAAATACGGGATATGATTTTACTGGATAAACATTTGCCTGTTAAGAAAAAGTCTGAAGTTCTGGATTTTATTTCATGTCATACAGCTTGGTTTGGATGTGCTTATCGTTAATGTTTTTGTCACGTTTTTTCTGATAATCAAGAATTTTCTGCAGATGAAACAGACAGTGAAGTAGTTGATGGAAGCACTGAAGAGACAGCTTTTCCTTCAAATGGTAAATCAAAATCTAACCTTGATGTGTCAGAAACATTTTCTGGTGCCTCAAGTGAGTTGACAGAGTCAGATCAAGAAGATATGGAAGTCCAATCACCCCGGGTGACGAGAGGTTGGTGTAAGCACAACTTTTGCTAATCTGCTTGATTCCATTGTTATAATTAACAAGAAGCTGATGATTATAGGAGTTCCACGGTCCAGAACTAATAAAAGCAATGTTAAAGATGGAAAGGGTGATAATATCTCTGTCACCAAAAGGAAAATTATTGGATCAAGGAGGTATGCCTCCCTGCATAAAAGTTTGTGAACATTTGCATGGTTGGTTTGCATTTGCATGATAACACGCAACATTCTGATCTTGCACGTTGTCCCTGTTCTGTTAACGGATTGAATAGGTTGTTGATAAAGCATGACTTTAAAATTTTGGAATGCTAGTTTAATATTATTCTCATTTCTTCCTGGTTCTGCCGTATTCAGATAGAAATCATAGAATAATATAAGATTAAATCTTTTGTTATTCATTTTACTTTTAATGCTCGATGCAGGTAGATACTTTGACACCTTTCGATGAAAAGGGATACTATTTAGTTTGATATGGTATATTCTGTTATTGGCCCACATTATATAGCAAACGGAGTCTCGAAGACCTACTGAGTTTAGATGCTGCATTTCAAGGTTTGGATATATCATGTTTAACGGGAAGTTTGAGGCTGAACGATTGAAAGCGGAGTGAACATACACTTCGTATTCCTTTTCGTTTTGCTGACCCTTAAAATAGATATTCTAGTAGTGGCAACTATCGTTGCATTGGGTGGCAGATTGTATGCATACTGTTCACAAAATCAATTCAAAGTGTGTATCGTCAGTTCAGTGCTAATTTGAGATGCTTCATGGGAATTTACTCCTAAAATATGCCACTTGATGAAAGCTAATTTGTAAAATATCCCAAATGATCTATTTGGATAATTTACTCCTAAAATATCCTAAGTGGAATGATAATTTTCATTGCGAACTATGTTTTTTTTTTTTAGAAGTCAGAACATATTAATCAAACAAGCCCTTACTCTCACTATTAATCCCTTTTTGCAAAATGGTAATTTTAATTTGAAATGAGCGGATGATTGTTTTTAAAATTTGACATTAGGTACACTAAAAGATTTATATCACAAAAACTTTGCACATGATAATGAAGGTTTTTATTAAATATATTAATTTTATATAAAAATAAAATTAAATAGTTATTATATATTATTTTAAAAACATAACATTTGTTAAAATAAAATATTGTGACGAATTATCTATTAATTTTGTTTTGATATAAAATTTTATAAAATTGATTTACTTAATAAATATTAGACTTAATTGTGTTTTTAATTACTATAAAAATATAAGTTTTTAAATTATTTTTATTAAGATTTAATTTTTAACATTTTAAAAATATAAAGATTTAGTTTTTATGTTTGTCATGTTGGATAATGAAAATTTAGTTCATTGTTGTTATGTTATAGCTATTTTTATATTTTATTATTTAAAAATTATTTTTTACAAAAAGTCCCTAAAAATAGTTATATTATTCAAAAAATTAATAATTAATCTAAATCATATTTTTTCACTTCTCTCATGTTCCTGTAGGTCATTTCTCATTCTTTCACTTGGTCTTTCTATACATAGAAAAATATGGCCTTGTTTAAAAAATAGTACTATGCAAATTTCAAAAGTCTTTTTTGATTGAAATTGTATTGTCTTAAAATTGAGTTTCATTTTATTTATACGAAAATGATGAATATGGTTGATTGGTTTTACTTATAAAAATTGGAAATTAAGGTTTATAACAAAACAAAAACAATTGATCTCATTTGACTATTAGGTATTAGAATCAATAACAGGTCTTATGAATAGGTTTTTCAACCTTTAGATTATTGAAGAGAGGGTAACACAAGTGTTGCAAGTAAAATAGGAAGAAAGAATGAGAGGAATTGGAATCCTTTTTTCAGTTAAGTAAGAACTAGACATCCAATTTTATTTTCACCAAAATGAATTTTTTTCTTAAAACATTCGCTTTAGCGAATAACACCTCTAACTCTCCGCCCAAGTGCTTTCTAAGCTTTCTCTCTACCCTTCACTTCCCGTGTCCCATGCCTTCATTGCTCCACTTCTCTCACCATGAAATTATTGGATTCTGTTGTTCTTTCCTATGGCTTTTCTCCTTAGCCTTAGCCACTTGTTTATTTCCTTGTATTTCCTTTCTTCTCTTTCAATCATAAACGCACACTGAACTGTTTTCATTTTAGAAAAATCCACGCGAATATTTATTTTTGTCTTGCAACGTTCAAACCAACAAGGACAATCAATTCTCAACTGTACTAGTTTTCCTCCGGTTATTGGACTCCAAGTGAACCCCAATATTTCCTCAGAGATTGTGGGTGGCAACGGGTTTCTATGTGTACTAAGGCCACCATCTTCTTCGGGGTCCATCATGGGCTCTGATAGAAGAGTTGCTCGTTGGGGCTCCAATAACTTCAGCATGTCACAGAGTTTGCAAGACTACTTTTTTGAATCAATTGTAGCAAAGCAGAGTGTTTTTTTACGGAATTGTATCTTAAAACTATTCCTTGCTTTGTTGGGGTACTGAAACATTTGAGTTAAATAGCAACGTATTTGATAATGTCCTCCCCGGACCTTGTATCAATGAGTGTCCCTGTGGACCCTTGTCAAACTCTGCAAAACTTTGTCCCCCATCACAGTCATCACCACCACCGCCCCTAAAAGCAGCATAAGAAAGCGGTTGGAGCGACAAAATGGTGGCATTTCTAGTGGTTGGGATCGTGAGTTGCACTATCTTCTTCCTAGTCTGGGCTTTCTTCCTTTACATGCACTGCAACTGCAAAAACCGAGGAAGCTGCATGCATAGTGTTATTCACTTGAGCGAATGTTTTAAGCAAAAAATTTGCTTAATCTAATTTAAATTCCCTTAACCGAAAATAAAATTGGACATCATCTCAATCCAAATGAAACAGGAAGGAAGGTTGAAGAATATGCAGCGAAGGCTTGAAGTCCAAGCAAGTTAAGGCAAGGGCTTTAAACTCACCAAAAATTATTATTTTTAGTATTAATATACATTTAAAAATTTAAAATTATATTTAAAAATATGTTCTAATTAACATAATAAGTGCGAATGTTAGTTTTTTTATTGGCACTAAAACATTTAATGAGTAATAACTTTTAATTCATAAATAATAATTTTTTATTTTATTTTTTTGAAAAGTAAATAGTTGAATAGAAAAAAAAGTTGAACAATTTTTTTTATTTAGTTCTTATATTTATTTACTCTATTTCTTTGATTACTTTATACTCCTTATGTTTTTATTGAATTTTATTTTAATTTGACATTTAATTTGAATATCATTAGCTAATATTTAACTATTTTTTCTCATCTCTTATTAATTTGAGTGTCATTAGTCAATATCCAATTTAAAAATGTATTGACTTTTGTTAAAAAATTACTTTTAAAATAGATATAGAACCTAAGTTTCATAAAAAAATATATTAGCAGTGGAAAGAAATAATTTAATGAAAAGTGTTGAGAATAAAATTATAAAATCTCATCAAAAATAGAATTGATTACTTTTTATACATTGTATATAGAGCAATATTGCACTTAACATTATATTTGAACAATTTAAAAATAAGTGTGTGATGTACTATCCTAAAATTTTTCATGAGTACTGTATTTAAAAAAATTATACTAATAAAAAGAAATACGTAACATATTATAAAAAATTATTATTATATATAATTTATTTAAAATGATATTATTATATTATTTGCTAAACAGTACTCCACCGTAGCCCGCAGGAAAGAGAAAGTGTAGCTCACACAGTGAAAATGCTCGAGAGAAAGCCCAGCTTTCACAGTAAAATGTTCGTGTATCTCACACTCTCCATTACTATTTTCATTTTTCTTTCTACCCATAGCATAGGTTGGCTTCGTGCAGATAGATGTTTGCTGGGGGAGATTGGTGCTCCTGAGGTATTATATTTATTCTCTGTCTATGTCTATTCCATTAGTGTTGCACTAAGTTAGAAAATCTCTATTTTCGATCTCTCTTCATAATGCAATAAAAAAGTCTAACACTCTCTCATGACATCTGTTTTCTAAGTCATTCATCTCACTTTTAAGCTTCCATTCCTTTTAAAGCTTGATCTCGCTATGTTTTTGGCCCACTTAACTCAGCTTTGCGCTCTTTCAAACCCATAAAAAGTAAACTCAAATTTTATTTTTTAATTAACAATAATTATTGAAGGATTAATTAATAAAAAATAAAATAATTTATTATTAAATAAATTTATTATTTAAAAATATGTCTAAATATTATTGATTAAAATATTTTCTGTACAGTGCCCTAAAAGTTTTTAAGGATACCACATAATTTATCTATGATATTTTTTTTTTCATGTAGTGTTAAAAAATTTTAAAAAATCACTAGGTAGTACAAATTTTTTTTAAAAAATACTTAAATCTTAAAAAATCTTTGAAACATAATAATTTCTTGAAAAATGGTAAATTAACTGAAATTCTCAATTATATAAAAAGAATAAATTCTTTTTCAAATGTGTATATAACTTACAGAATAATGTAAACAATTTTAGTATCAGTTGCTTTAGTTTAATGAAGTTTTTTAAAGTTAAAATTAATAAAAATTTATTTAAAATCAATAATATTTCAACAAAGATTAAACTGATTGGCTTTATTATTTATTAAAAAGAAAATTTTAAATAAAATTAATTACAACGATTTTATATATAATTTTGCATCACAAAAAATTTAAAAAAATAAATTTTAAATAAAATTATAATAAATTAATTTATTATTAATTTTAAATAATAAAATATTAAAAATAATAATTACGTAAATGTGATGATGATGAGTTGAATTTTTGTTATTCAGTTCATTACTTAACAAAGTATAAATGACCTCAATTAAATTCTAACAAATGTTTTAAGAATTTGTCTTAAAATATACTATTTTAATAAAGACTAAAAATATAATCAAACTTAAAAATTGTTAAATTAATGGTTGAATATGTTAGTTTCATATCTTATAAAAACTTATTTAATAACATAAGTATTTAAGATTAATATCTTGTGTCAACGAATTTATAATATATATATATATATATCGTAACAAACTTAACAAAATGAAAAATTATTTTAATTTTGTCAAGTAAGTTGAATTTTTTAAAAGTTTATTATTTAACTAAATTGAGTTTTTTTTTTTTAGCGAACTGATAGCTATTCTACGTAATTGTATTTACACAGACAAGTAGAAATTTCTAGATTATCTAAATTGATAGAATTACCATCATTATTAGTATCATTGGATTCATCTTTAACTTTGTCCAAGTCTTTATTTGGATTCAATTCCAAGTCCAATAAATTATACATTGCTAAACTATTTGGATTAGATGAACTTTCATTATCCATAATTCTATAGTTTTTCTAAATTTCTTTTTTTTTTAGCCAATTTTAAGTTTTCTCTCACATAAACAACATAACTTATAATTTGTTATTTCAAATGGTTCTATTTCTTTGTGTGGACCTAAAAAATATATAAATGCAATTAATTAGTTGCAAGTGCAAGTGTAAACACCTATTTTTGTTTGGATCACGAATTTTAAATAATGAATTTCAAATAATAAAAAAAGGAGTAGTTAAAAAGATATATAATCAATAAAAATCATAAAGATATTTTGTAAATAATAATCATTATTTTCATTTTAAATTTTAGTTAATTTAGGAATATATAGAATAAAATCAAAATAATCAAAGTGTAAAAAATATACTTCATTTTCTTTTCTTAGATATTAATCCTATTATAAAGAGTGACTAACCTGCATACATAAGGACAAAGCTTTCTTTCACATGTAAGAATTTTGGAGAGATGATTTTTCAGAAGAAAATATTTTACAGATAATTTTTCACATAGATTTTTTCATATAAAAAAAATATGAAGAAGAGACAAAGATACTATAAGAAAAAGGTACGAATTTTGACTCCTTTCTTACCTTGTTCGTTTTTCATGAAACATGTGCTATTGTGTCTTATTATTTTATTCCTTTTTTTTCTCTTTGTTTTAATGCTTTTTCTATTTATGTGGTTCCTCTTTTCTTTTTCTTTTTTTTTATTTCTTTTTTTTTTTCAATACGTTTCTTCTTCCTCGAGCATCACCTCATTGTGCCAAAAAAAATAAAAAATATAAAAAAAATCTTTTTCAATTAAGCATCCTAATTATCATTTTTTAAATGAAATATAAAGATTAGTTTTTTGTTAAATCAATCAAAAATAAAAAATATTTTTAGTAAAAATAAAAAAAGAAATAAACTCATTTTTAAATTTTTAGGTTGCTAAATATTTTAAAATAAAATAGAAAAAATTTTAAAATGTTAAATCACTGTCAAAATAAAGTTTTTTCCTGTTTAACTTTTTTTTCAAAATAAAATATAAAATTTTCATTTCTAAAAAAATTTTAAAAAATTATTTTCAAGTTATTAGGACTTTGTCACTTTTCAAATAAAAAATAAAATAATTTTTTTTACAAAATTGTTTTATTTTCTAAATAAAATATGATTTAAGACCAACTATTTTTTTGAGATCTCAAATTTAATTTTTGCCTATGACAAAGTGCTTTCTTCTTAAAAGATATTCCTTTCTTTCGACTTTCGAATGGAGAATGAAAAAGACATGACATAATCAAAGAAAGATTTAACAATTCCCTGCAACTTCTAGTAAGAGAAAGTAATAGCTTCCCAGTGGAGTTCGTAGATGGAGGGAATGGTCTTGCTGACTTACTTATCTAATCTCTTCATTGCATTGCTAATGGTTTTGCTGACTTATTTATCTAGTCTCTTCATTGCATTGCTAATCCTCGTACTAGCTGACTCTCATCTAAGATAGATATCTTAGCTCTTGCCTTAGTAGAAGTTACTAGGCATGTATCGAAGTTGCAACTTATGCCTGAGGTACATTTTCAAAAAATAAAAAAATAAAAAAAGCAAAACAAAAAATAAATTTTTAGGATCAATATTTAAAATTAGTTGCACTATCTAATCTTGAGGTACCGTTTATTTGGACGCACGAATAGAGGTATTAATACCTTCTTTATTTGTAATCAACTCCTAAACTTAGAATTATTAAGGGTTTTTTTTCAATATTTTGCCCTTATAAAAATAAATAAAATTTTGGTGGCGTCATTACATTTTTTCAAATAAAAAACCTATTCTCTCAAAGCTGCTATTTTTTTTTTTTTTGCCCACCAAAAAACAACAAGTAATAGGGAGAGATGAATAACAATTTCTCACAATTTTAAAATTTTACCAACTCAAAAGCAATCTGTTACGCTCATAACTAGATGAGCGATATCAATATACGAATAACAAATCTTTGAAGCTCCTAATGTTCATCTCCATAAAATTTTTGCAATTGTATTGGAGTTTTGATATTAGTTTTAAGTGCATTTATAGTTATTTAGTTGCCGAAAAAAATATCTTTTTTGCCTTAAAATTTTCAAGTTGATAAATTTTAGTCATTTCTTCATCATTTTCCACCATCCTTTCTATTCAATCGTATAATTCACTTTTAACTTAAAAATCAACTTTACAATCATAACTATAGTGTAAAATAGGGTAGCGGTAATAGGCTGCAACATGTAATGACTTATGGAGTTGGTTATTCCATCTTTCACCAATAACATTCTACAAAGGGAAATAACTAATAGATGAAAAGACTAAATTAATTTTTAAACAAAAATAAATAAAATTTTAAATTCAACTTAATAATTTATTTACATTCTTTTACTATCATGGAAGGTCTTGTGATCTTTTCTTTAGCTTTGTTCATTCTCTCATAAAAAAAACTCCATAGCTGATATCTTATAACCAAATGTAAAACTTTGATTAGATGATAAGCAAACAATAATGCTTTTCCAAAAAATTTTATCCATAATCACATTCTAATCAAAGCTCCCTTTTGCTTTTGAAGTCATCCTTTGAGCAAGGTAAGACATGACAAAGTGAGTGATAGCATTCTTTGATCAAAGTAAGATGTGACAAAGCGAATGATAGCTAGCCTCACCAAATCTCTTTCTTTTGTGAAGTATTGCAATAAAAAAACTAGAGAAGTCCTTTAGTAAATGTAAATAATAATTTTTTTCCTTTGAAATTATCTCTTGATGGATGGGTAACTTCTTATCCAAATCCTCTAATATCAAATCTATGCAGTGAGCAACACACGCTGTTTATTACATTCTCTTTCTTTTCTCCATCAACAATTCACTTGCAGTCTTATAGTTTGTTGCATAATTTGTCGCATTTTAGATTATATTATCTTCACCAATTTTCTCTACAATGTCATCCATCGTTGAACTTTAAAACTTTGGATATTTTTTTATATCTTGAAACAAGTTAAATATATAATATGTTTATAATAGTTAAAGCATTAGACTTTAATTATACTATTCATAATGCTAATACTGGACGATAATAAAAGATATAATAATATGGTTAAATAATTTTAAATATTTTCATACATTCCAATGCACACATATTGGAAAGTCGATTTTTTGTTTGAAGAATGAAAAAATGAAAATTCAATTCTCTATTCATTTTATTTTGATTATAGTTTATTTGACTAATTTATAATCTTATTTTATTAAAATAAAAGTTTTGATAAAAGCTTTTAATGTACTATCTTATTATATTTTTCAAATGTTGTTCAAGTTTACAATACATTTTGTCCCTAATATTTTGATAAAAATTCCCTCTTTTTCACTCTTTTTCACTCCTGTATTGCGCCATTCATTTTTAAAGAAGTCCACTTTTAATATTACACAGTTTATTTTAATTATTACGATATATATTCTTTTTATTAAAACATTTTATCTTTAAATAAAAATAATAAGTACTATGAAAGCCAATGTCAATTTCATTTCATATCTTATGAATTTAGTAAGTGCTCGTAAATTTAGTGATTCACATCTTTTACCAATCTGTCAATTTCATTTTAGTTATTGTTTTAGGCTTTTTTTTGTTTATGTTTGTGTATGTTGGACTTGATCTTACATTTGGGTTCATTGACTCTAAATTGCACAATATAAAATTGACTAGTTTAAATGTGTGTGCATGGATCCAATTTCATGTGTTTCAATCTATCATATCTCTATTGTCTTTTTATACCGCAATAGTATTAATTATCAAGGAGTCTAAAGCCCACTTATGGTAACAATGATTACGAGACATGCTGCAAGAGGATGAACAATATGACAACATCCCTTTCATATCATGTCTATTAAAGAACAGAAATAGATGCTGCAATATGCAGAAAAGTCACTGGGATGAATTTTCTGTTATGGATTTGTGGTTGTCATCTTTCACCACAAATAGTGCAAGGCTCAATATCATAAGATGGATCTATGTATATATATTGTTCTTCTTACAATATATTACTACAAGATAAGAAAAAGAAAAGAAAGAAAACATTAGCACCATCAAAGGTTTTATCAGATGATTTTGAGAGGCATCAAATTTCAAAATCAATAGGAATGAGGAACCAGGGGACGGGGGAGGGAAGACCTAGTAATATTAATACTCTTCAACAACAATCTTAATATAAACATACTTTTTTGTTGGGCAGGAGAGTGTTTCTTCAATTTCTAAATTTATGATAGTTGATTAAATTTTTTAACTACAAATATTATTGTTATTTATTTTCAAATCAAAGTTTTTTTTCTCTCTCAAAGTTTGGCACCTAATTGATAGCTTTTATTTTTTAATCTAAGCTCTGGACCTTAAAACGTACTAGCTCTGTTTGAAGTACAGAAATTAGGATAAAACATACATGTTCTTTTGTACTTTTAATCAATTAAAATTAAAGTTTTATTCTAATAAAAAAATTCATATTTGATGTTATTATAGATTACCGATTTCAAATTTTTATTTTGATTAATAAACATAAGTAACAACACTTAAGTATTATCTCAAAAATAAATTTCATATAAATATTATATATCATTGTTGTTATCTTATTTATTTATTTTTATATATACTCATCCTAAAAATAGATCTTAAATACACTGGAGATAAAAAAAAAACATTTTTGTTTAAAATGCATGCTCCATTTATACTAAATAAAGCAAGAAAATTTTTTTCTGCAATTTTACTCATTTCAGCCATCGATTTCAACTGCAAGCGGTGCAGATCAAATTTGCAACTTCTATGGAATGCAGTTCTCAGGGAAAAAAAATGCAGTTCAGTTTTGGAGAGTGAGGGATGAGCTTCTTTCAGAACCTTTATAAATTAAACAATCAAGTACAAAAATTAAGAAGCGTAGCTTACTAGCTTTTGAGTGACAACAGAACTTAAAAAAATGAAAAAATAGAAGGTGCTTCACATGTGTACTCGATCTTATTTAGTAATTCATTTTTGAATGGACAAAAATTAAGTGCTAATACAATTGTTTAATCTGAGTTGATTATTTCAAAATTAGTGTATATCTTTAATGCTAGTGCGCTAAGTTTTAATATTGAATATTTTATGCAGATTACTAAAATAAAATTTCAATTTTTATTAAAAAATATTAGTAATAATATTTATAATATTTCACTTAAGATATAAGTTTTGCGCTTTCAGAATTACAATAGATAAAACAAAATGTTTCTTTGAAAAGAAGACAAGAATATTTCTCAATTGCATTGTAAGACACAGCTATAAACTTTACCTATTTAACCAAGAGAAAAGAAGAGCCACATTGTGTAGATCCATGATGGATCTCCTTAATTTAATAATTAAATACATTAAAAAACTCTAGAAGAGTGAAAGTGATGATCTTTATTCTTCGCCTGCATTTTACTCACCGTGTAAGAAGAGGCAATTCAGATTCGACCACAACCCACACTGTACATATGTTATATATCTATTTAGCTTAAATATATTTTTAATCATATATTTATAAAACATATATAACATAAAAAATTGATACGTGAGAATCTCTTAACTAATTATAACATCGTTACTAAAGACTAGAAAATATTAAATTTTAAAAAATTAACAATTAAAATAGAAAAAACCTGAAAGATTAAAATTAAATTCTCACATAAACATAGTAACTAAAAATACTATTTAAGCCTATAAATACTTCAGCAAATTATTAAATGTTAATTACTCCTAGTGTTGGCCTCTACCAACAACTACTCCCAAACACCAAAACCCATCAAACATAATTGAAACAATGGCTGAAAAATCAAACCTGACCATTGAAGAAAGGTTCATCCAGCTAGAAAAATCAAAGCAAAATCCACGAACTCCAGGCCCAAAGATACAAAGGGTAGGGCATCATCTCAGAGACCGAAAGCATTTCACCAAGCACTACTCTCCCAAGTTGGTGTCCTTCGGTCCCATCCACCACGGTGAGCCCAAACTGCAGCTAGGAGAGAAGTACAAGCTCAAGTGGGCAGCAACATACATTGAAACCTATGTTGGACAAACGCCACAAACTCTACACCAAAGGATCACAGAAAATATGGAATACCTGAAGAGCCTGTTTGACACACATCTTTTCTCCAACAATGTTCTGTTTTCCAATTATTCCAATCAAGGATTCGATAACTTAGAAGAGAAGATATGTTGGATGCTGTTTGTGGATGGATGTGCCCTGCTACAAATCTTGGACAAAGCTAAGCTCCATAAAGCAGAAGACATGAACATTAAGATTGACCAATTAGTTCTTGTGATGCAGGATGTGCTTTTGCTAGAGAACCAGCTTCCTTTTCCATTGTTGAAACTGCTGTGGAGAGGCACAGAAGAGTTTACTTTGATTGACACAATGAAAAATTATCTTCAGTGTCATCACTGGGCCACTAAAGAAGAAGACAAACTCAACATATCAACAGCATTTCAGTCACCTTCTCATCTTCTGGATTTGCAGCGCAAGATCATCCTCCACGACCCTGGAAACAATCCATCTGAAGATAACACAAACAACAGCCACATGGTAACATATAGAAACATACAGGAACTGAAATCTGCGGGAATTGGACTGAAGACAAGCCACACGCGCAGGCCAAAAGACGTTTCTTTCGCCAGTGGATGGCTTCGATCGGAATTGACGCTTCCAGAGATCGTTGTGGACGATACAACTGCAGCTACTGTGCTAAACTTGATAGCGTATGAGATGTGTCCTGATTTTGAAAACGACTATGGAATTTGCTCATTTGTGGCTTTGTTGGATTCATTCATAGACCACCCTGACGATGTGAAGGCGCTGAGATCGAAAGGGATTTTGCTTAACTCGCTTGGGAGTGATGAGGAAGTGGCCAAGCTCTTCAATACCATAGGCGATGGGTTGGTGCCTGACATGGGGAAATATTCGAGTGTTAGATCGCAAATTGAGAAGCATTACAGCAATAAATGCAAGACATGGTTGGCGCTTGGGTATCATACCTATTTCAATAACCCTTGGGCCATTATTGCCTTCCACGCTGCATTTCTCGGACTTGCCCTCACTTTTGTTCAAACTTGGTTCGCCATTCATCCTCCTAAATAACTTGTTACACTCGTATCTTTCTCTCTCACATTCCCACTAATAAATTAATTTGTTGTTGTATTCTATGGTTTCAATTTTGTGAATACAATGCACTTTGTTCTCTTCAAATGATGATGATTTTTCTTCTTACTAGGTAACCATTGAGCTTTCTGTCCACTACCGTTACTCTAAAATGTTATTTAGCACTTTTTTTAAAACAAATTTTATACAATTTTTTTTTATTGAAACTGATATAAAATATAAAATATAAAATATAATAAATATGAGAATTATAATATACTTTTTTCCTCACAAAAAAAAACTCATTTCTTTCAAAAGAAAAGTAAAAAAAAAAATTAATAATAGCAATTTTTTAAATTTTTTCTTAAAAAATATGTAGAAAATAATATATATTTTTTCATTTCAAAATAAAAAAATTATAAAAAATAAAAGAAGAAGAAATAAACATATAATGAGACAAAAAAGCAATTTTATATTGTAAAGAAAAAAAAGAATTATAGAAAAATAAAGAATTTCATTGTCATGTTTCATGTTTGAATCATGTTACGTTAAATAAGCGCACGTATAGTTATATAATTTGTATTTTTTTTGTTATAATATAAAGGTAATATTATTTTAAATAATTGTTTTAAACATGTTAATGGAATAACTTATTTTCATGATATATTAGGTTAAGTTCAAATAATTCATCGTTATTGAAATATTAAAATGTACATTTTCTAAGCACATTTGACATGATGCTAATGATAGGATCCTGAGCTTAGGTATTGTAAAACTAATTTCTTTTCAAACTAAGTTTGAACTTATAATATATCGTTATTTTAGTTAGTCTATACCTTCATGGTCAACTAATTATTCGAAGAATGTCAAGTTAAAATTGGTCTAAACTTGTTAACCAGTTGTTGGAGATCTTATTTCCCAAAGAAAAATTGCATGGTGGATAAGTGAATATGACTTAGTTACTATGTCATTTTCGTAATGTGAATGATCACTTTTAGTTATATTCGATTAGAAATATTTACTTGAACTTATATATTAAGATTGAGGAAGGATCTTATATAATGGCCAGTAAAGTAATAAATTATAACCGTTAGATTTAAATTAAATGAAAGGCTCAGATTGAGTGTAAGAGTTTTTAGACTTACACCAGTGTAAGAAGATTATGTCCCATTAAGATTAATATTGAATGTGTCATATTCATTGGTCATTCTAGTTAGAGTATTATTGATATATTTGTCTTTATTAGTTGATCTGGATGAATGTGGAGAATGCAACTAGATTTCTATTACACTAGTAAACTTTTATTAATAATTGTGTATAGCTAGAAATTACCATCACAAAGAAATTTATAGGTTGACACAATTGATGTAATTATGGACATGTGATAGATTCACATGCATTGCACCCAAGGATCTAGGGATTTTACAAGCAAGACAACCATACGTTGCAAGGTACATTTTAATACAATAATTTTGATATTAATTTAATTTTTAATATTTATTAATTATGTTTATAAATGCGTTTATAGATGGTTGGGAAGTATTTTTTCAAAGCAATTAGGCAACATCTAATATTTTATAGACACATATTTAGGACAATGAAAAAAGATGAAGTTTGCATATATTGTGTTTCTTATATTTGATTCACTCCAATTTTGAAATTACTAATCCATTATTGATGATGAGTTCAAGTTGTATGGAATTACATTCAAGAGAAAAAGACTAACAAAAATGGTGCAACATTAATAAAACAAAAATGGCAGCATTAGGACCAAATATTAATATATTTGATATAATTAGAAAGAAGTAGAAGACATATTGGTGATGTCACAAGAGGACCATATTGTATAGGTATAACTTCCAACTTTTGAACCTAATCCCGAACAAAATATTCCTCATAAAGTAGTAGAGCTTGATATGCCAAAAAATTGAGTTGAGTTCTGATGACACTTGGAGTCATTCATAAAGGAGATCATTGGCAAAGGCAAAGAAAGTTTCTTCAAAGTCCAAGCAAATGATCAAGAGCGGGTTTGAAAAATGCGAATTATTTTCATTCCTTTTCTTTGAGGAATATTTTTTAGTTTACATTCTTCTTTCATGCCTATGGATTTATTTGCAATTATTTTGATTATTTACCTTATAATGAGTAACTAAATCCATAGCCAAAGTTATGATGAATCCTACATGAATTTATGTTATCTTTACATCTAATAATAATTTCAAACCTATGATTGATTTTTATTCCATTGCATATAAATGTACATTAAGAATTGACCACTCTTAGCATCTCATAATTAATTATATAGTAGGAGACCGAATTACATGTAATTAATGAACTTATAAGATAAAACGAGATAAAGAATTAAGTTGATCAATCTTAGTTTGTCTCTTCCAATTGTTATTAAATTAACAAACTTATAGGTGCTTTATGTTTTCTCCTCCTTTTACCTTATATGACCATTGGAGGTAATAGTTTAGAGAAAAGACTATTAACATTGCAAGATCATAGAGTATTAATAAAAGTTGTATGAGTGATTGACAATAATAAGTAAACTAGAATTAAATTAGGTTTAAAACAAATATAAAGAAGTATAAATATGAAACTATATGCCTTAGGTTCTTTTCCAACAGTTTAATCGAAAATGTGTTGTTTTATTGCTTTAAATTACTTGTTTTACTCCTAGTTTAATTATCACACATTTTTTAAGTTTAAACAATTAAATTAAGAATCTTTTATAATTGAAAATAATTCTTGTAGGATAATAGTTTGAGAACTTAATTTAAAATTTCCTTATTAATTTTTGACGCGTACACTTGCTTACAAATATCATTAAACATAAGTATCACATAAAATGTGTAAAGGATCCACCATAGTCATAATTATGGATTTAACTACTCATAATGAAATAAATAACAAAAATAATTATAAAAAAACTCAGAATCATTCAAAAAGAAAACATAAACTAAAGGAATTCTAAGTAGAAAGAGATGAAAAAAGTTTCTGTCCCCACGACATGCTCTTGATCAGTTGCTCCTGGAAAGATATCCTACATCTTCACCAATGATCTCTATTCTTAAACGGCTCCCAAAGTCGTTACAAGTTGACTAGATAAAAAGTGTCTAAGTCAAAAGGTTTCCAAAAAAAAAATTGTTCAAGGAAATTTTTTTGTCTTTTTCATGTGTGTGAGACTTCTTTATATAGACATAGAATCTGAAAAGAAAAGAAAAAAGATAATAATTTTACCTCTAAAAAATATGTTTTATCTTCAACAAATATATGACTTATCAAGAGAGAAAGATCTAATTTTTTTTTGTCAAATTTAAAGCTTCAATTCCCTCTCACAAACCCATTAAAAATCTCTAAATAACTTTCATGAGGGAAGAAGTGTGACCATGCATACCATTTAGTATGGGCATACATTGTCACAAAGCAAGACTATGCTTCCTTTTGTGTGACTCTACTTTTTATAAATTTTTTTAATTGTGATAAAAATGCTTCCTTAATTCACTAATGATTGATTTGTGATAATATACAATAATTAATAAATAAATTAGTATAAAATCTTCATTAATTTGAAAAGGATTAAACATATAAAAATGTCATTAAAAACACCAAAAAATATAAATTTATCAACTACCTGAACCAATTTTTATTAGTGATTATTAACATCTTACTAAGAATATCTTTTCAATTATTTTAAATAGTTAATAGAATATATTCAATATTTTTAGACCAATAAAATGACTAGTTAAACCATTTTCTTTTTATTCAATGTCTCTCTTTTAACAAACAAACAAAATTGCTTAAGAGAAATTATTTTTACTAATGTATGTTAAAGTATCAAGTAAACTTTCATATTAGCTCTTATTATGAGTATTGATTAAATTAATTCTTAATATTTTAAAATGAACATGTTAATCTTTTGACATTGTTAAATGTGAGATACTTTAATCTAACAAATAATTTTTGTCATAATAATATTAACTTTTGCTTTCAGGTAACACTTAGGATGCCAAAATAACATTGTTTTACTCAATATCATAAACTAATTTAAATGATTTTTGTCATTGATACTATTGTCATCTTTAACGTTCTCAACTAGCCATGATGCCTACCCACAATGTTCTTAGCCACTATTGTCATTGAATTCATCACAATCATTAAATTCAGCATTGTTAAAAGGACCATCACCATTATTATTAAAGAAGAATCTATTATTTCTAATTGAATTTCAATGACAATTCAAGCTTAAAATGTCATTATTCTACTGTGAGTGAAGCCAAGTACAGATAAAATATCATAAATTACACACTTCTTTTCCTCTCTCTCTCTTTTGAATTTGCACATTTTAAATTCTTTCACAACCTCTTCAATCTCATTGTTATTACCATCACCATCATAAAACTTATGTTTGGTGTATTTTACAATGAGTTGAAGCTCTACATAAAGGAGAAGGAAAAAATATTATCAAAGTTGAGAATGATAAATGAAAGGGTAAGAAAAATTGAGTTCGGTGATGTGGATGAAAAAACAAAAAAATTATGACTTAGAATGTAAGAAATAACAATAATAATAATTAAAATTATGTAAAATAGTATTATTTTTGAGTTTTGTATTATTTCATGATAAAAATTAACATTATTATTACAGTAAATGTTAGTTAAATTAGAATATTTGAAATTTGATTGATGATTAATATGTTTATTAGATTAGAATATTTGAAATTTGATGGATGATTAATATGTTTATTTTAAAATTTTAGAAATCAATTTTCAACTCTTAAAATTTCAGAAATTAATTTTATAATTTGGTCTATTAAAAAATTAAAGGTAAATCTTTTAATTAAAATAAAATAATTATTATAAATTAATAAAAAAATATTTAATAAATATTTTTTAATAATTAATAAAATATATTTGATATTATAAAGTAAGAAAAATTAAGGAAAAGGAAGTTTCGTTTTTTCCGTAGCTTTGCCAAAGTTCCTTTATCCCCACTTTAACTCACTCTCAGTCTCACTACCTGCATTCTCGTCTGCCTTCAAGCCCAGACATGCTGAGAACTCTACTTCTCAAGCGCACCCTTCGTCTCTCCCAATACCACTCTTCACCAACCCCTTCACATTCCCACCGAACCCTCACTACTCCAAACCCCATCCTCCGCCGATTCTCCACCTCGCCGGAACCTCCCTCCTCCGCCGATGCCGAAACCCGCAAGTACGTCGGCTACGCGGCGCTCCTCCTTTTCTGCGGCGCCGCCACCTACTACAGCTTCCCACTTCCCGATAACGCCAAGCATAAGAAGGCCCAGCTGTTCCGCTACGCGCCTTTACCGGAGGATCTCCACACGGTCTCCAATTGGAGTGGGACTCACGAGGTGCAGACCCGCAACTTCCATCAGCCGGAGAATATAGAGCAGCTAGAGCGCGTGGTGAGGGACGCGCACGAGAAGAGGACCCGGATCCGCCCTGTCGGGTCGGGTCTGTCTCCGAATGGGATCGGGTTGTCGAGGGCTGGGATGGTGAACTTGGCGCTAATGGATGGGATATTGGAAGTGGATAAGCAGAGGAAGATCGTTAAGGTTCAGGCTGGGATCAGAGTGCAACAGCTTGTGGATGGGATTAAGGAACATGGCCTTACATTGCAGAATTTTGCTTCCATTAGGGAGCAGCAAATTGGTGGCATTATTCAGGTTTTTGTTTTATTGTTTTTATTGGTCTATAAAATCACGAACATCTCATACTGGTTCTTAAAATTCATGAATGTCATTTATATTGACGATTCTTAATCTTTTTTAAAAATAATGTATCCCTACTTAAAGGCTATCAGAATAGCTTATAAATTCACGAAGAATACGTTTGGAGGAGCTTATGGAAATAGTAGCTTTAGTAAGTTATTTTCAGTTTATTACAATAAATTTTTCAGTATTGTCAGACTAAGCTCTTATCTAATAATTTTATGATAAAATTTATTGCATCGACCTTCATATAAAAAGTACTTATTCAATAAGAACTTATTTAATAAACATTTAATTAAGTCGTGTTCCCAAACGCCCTTATATGACTATCGGTTATAGCTTTAAGAGACTAATGTGGGAATTTTGTAATATCAAAGAAACTGATGTATCCCACTCCTAAACTTTTGAAGAAAAAATGCTGGATTTTATTTTAATTAAATTTTGGTTATGGGATGATGTATTGATTTTATTTGATTCTTGCTTTGAATTTAGCTGGGTGCAGGATGTATGTTGTGATTTTGTAGTTGAACTTAACAGTGTTTAAATATCATGAACGTTATGAGGTTTTTTTTCTTCTTGGTTGGTTAATGGTTTGTTTGAGTAAGGGTTTTACACTTTTAGCTGAGTAATGCTTAATTAAAAAGGATGTCAGAGTTTTCTGCCTGCAATGGAGTTTTAGTACTTTAGTGCAAGGTCTTAAATTAAGGTTTAAAACTGGAATTCTAGCTGCAACATCAAGGATTTTGGGGCCTCTGCCATGGGGACCAAAATTTAAAACCTTGCTTTAGTGAACTAAATTGTATTAGTGTCATTGTTCATATAAATAAACTATAACTCTTTGCATTCAGGTTGGTGCACATGGCACTGGTGCAAGACTGCCTCCTATTGATGAACAAGTGATTGCCATGAAACTGGTCACCCCTGCTAAAGGGACAATAGAGATTTCAAAAGAGAAAGATCCTGAGCTGTTTTATCTTGCTCGTTGTGGTCTTGGGGGACTTGGAGTTGTGGCTGAAGTCACCCTTCAATGTGTTGATCGAGAGGAGCTTGTGGAGCACACAGTTGTCTCAACCATGAATGAGATAAAGAAAAATCACAAGTAATTCTTTTTTTTTTTTTCCTTTTCCCTTTGGATACATCAATCAAATAACAAATATATTAAACATTATCATTTTCACATTAATTACACCATTTTGTTTGTAACATGGAGCTAAGATCAAGAACTTGCTAAGTTTACTTCCAACTCCTAAGTCCCAACAGCTATATTAATAATGATAAATGAGAGTAAACCGTTAATTGGTCCTCCAAAGATTATGGTATCATCATGCTAGAACAAATTTGATAACTATTTTCAATGTTTGAAAGACTAGTTTGGTGACAAAAATCTTTGAAGGATTAATGAGGTGACAGTAGTTTTGGACAACAAATATAATTTGAGTGTTTATTATTCTAATAATTGAAGAGTTACGTGATGCCCTTCCTTGGTAGTTCCTATGTATGCATCCTTAACCCCATACATGGGGAAGCTATTTCTGTAATCAGAACCTACAAGCTCAAAGTCCCAGCGGATACTATGAGCCAATAGATTCACAGATATGGGCTAGTATCTGGTAGTATAATATAGTAAATATCTATTTTGATCTTCCATAGATATTTGCAATATCACTTTGTTTCCTCTACTTATAAATATATCAAACTGGCTCAAAGATATGTTTAACATCGACTAGGTCCTTTAAATGACATCAAATTTATATTTGAATGGTGAAACTAATAGCATTAGTTATCATTGAATGACCAATTAGATTTCAATGATAAATGGTGGACCAATATGATTTACATATACCTTTGGATGGCCAAAATTATGCTTATTCTAATATAATATTCTTGATAATATTTTACTTGCATGCTTGTGTATACTTATCTTTTTTTGCTACATGAAGGTGCATGCTTCCTCTATTTTTGTTGCCTCTGGTATAAGTGATTAAGGATCTACCTCCAAAGATTTAGACTGTTAGCCCTTCTCTATCTTACGCAGGAAATTGCTATCTGAGAATAAGCATGTCAAGTACCTTCATATCCCTTATACTGACTCTGTTGTGGTTGTGCGATGCAATCCTGTTTCAAAGTGGACTCGTCCCAAGTTCAAACCGAAATATACTAAAGATGAAGCCATACAGCATGTGCATGACCTTTACCGGGAATCCCTCCAGAAATATGGGTACAGTTACTCCTTGTCTATTGATTATATGATTTATCAATTTATTTGACTTGGAAATATTGAAGAAGCCCAATAGGAGAGTGTGTGATGCTGTGAATGCTTTTTCACCAAATATGGGTACATGTACACCTTGTCTATTGATTGTATGATTTATCAATTTCATTGACTTGGAAATACTGAAGAAGCCCAATATGAGAGTAAGCAATGCCATTAATGCTTTTTCACCAAATAAAGGCTAGTAGAAGCTGCTCCCTGCTTTCTGTCATAGTTTTCTGCAATTGGTTACACTTATCTGTCTTCCTTTTGTGGAATTTCTTTCTTTCATTCTCCTTCACATAACATGAATTTGCTCACTCTCTACCCTCCACTAGTGACTGCGCAACCAAGCACCGTCATTTTCCATTTTGGTCTGTGAATATAAATTTTGATTCACACCATCAAGAGTGTTGGAATTTCGGAAATGGCAGAATCTTTTCTACAAAAAAAATATAGAAAAAAAGTTTGTCCAAACCCCCATCGGGTGTTTAGATTGAATAGATATCAAAAAGTTATATAAAATAGATATATAATTTGCATAAATTAGAGTTCTGGGCTAAAAGTTATGCCCTTCAAAGTTTACGATGTTAAAGGCAAGAAATTGTAGAATTTTTCATTACTTTCTAAAAACAACCGATATAGAAAGAAGTGAAGTGGCAAGTACTACTTTATACATTAGTCCCATTCCATGCCTGACTCGCCCATGACTCAATCCGAGTCAACTCGTTCACCACAAAACTCTAACTAGCCCTCAACAACATCAGCCATGGCAGCGGTGGATATGGGTAATAAATAATAATTATTCACCTTTAAATGAACGCTATCTCTCTCTCTTTGACTTTGCTTGTTTTGACAACAAATTGGTTGGAAGTAGAAGTTGGGAAGGGAAGGGAGAGATGAAAGAGAAGGAGTTGCAGAGAAGTTGGGAGGAAAGAGTTGATGGTGGAGGAGCAGCAATTTACCGATTTGCCTTCATCAACCTGTTATTACTTAAAATATTTACTTGAAAATCATTAAATGCTAACCATTCATTTAACATGAAATAAGATCAATGGTTGATAATCAACTACATTTGCTTATTGAAAAACAATACCATGTTAAAAACCTTATGGAAGTAAATGGGAGGACCTAAGAATCACCCGTGTAAGTTTTCACATTCAAAGGTAGAAACAGATAAATTAAATGAATTACCAAAAGATTTTGTCAGGCCCCATGGTTTAGTTTTGCTTTCTGTTAGTAGTAGGCAACGGTGTGAACCTTTGTAGAAGCATCGGTATGGGTATTGCAGAATGAATTCTGCAGTATTTTCTTCATTAATAATACATTTCATATCTTTTCATCTTGATCTCTCATACATTTATAACTGTCAGTATTCTCCCTTCAGTTGGACAATGAAAAGCCTACTAGTTTCTTGTAAATTTGCATGGCATGGACTAATGATTTTTCTTACTGATCCGATAGTTGTTGAAAGTGCTGATATTCTTCTTCTTTTACTAAGGCCTTAATTGCTATCTTTATTGGCAGCTTGCTGCCAACAACTTCCATTCTCTTTTTATATCTTTAGTTAATTGTGTCATTATTTTACTGTTACCATGTTGTGAACTTTTCTGTTTAAGTTACATGAGTTTCTATTATTGTATACAGACCACAAGGATCTAGGGGTAAATCATCAGATGATGGTGAACAAAATGTAGATGAGCTTTCTTTCACAGAATTAAGAGATAAGCTAATTGCCCTAGATCCTCTGAATAAAAATCATATCATCAAGGTCAATCAAGCTGAGGCTGAGTTCTGGCAGAAGTCAGAAGGATATAGGGTGGGATGGAGTGATGAAATATTGGGCTTTGATTGCGGAGGTCAACAGTGGGTATCAGAGACATGCTTCCCTGCTGGAAAACTGGCTAAGCCAAGCATGAAAGACCTTGAATACATTGAAGAGCTTATGAAACTCATAGAGAAAGAAGAGATACCTGCACCTGCTCCAATTGAGCAGCGCTGGACAGCAAGCAGTAGGAGTTCCTTGAGTCTTGCTTATAGCCCATCTGAGGATGATATATTTTCTTGGGTAATTTAATACTTTCCTGGATAATTGAGCAGTATATATATAGTGCTAAATTCTTATCTAAAGCCAGGATGGGTAAACAAGTATTACATGGTCATATGAAGTGAGCTTAGATCCCATGCTTGTCTTGATTTTTTTTATTTTTTATTTTTAAATGTTTTGTAAATAAATTTTTGAGGTTGCACTAGGAATTAAAAAATTTCAACAGCTTTTAGAAAAAGATGAAATGACACCTTATTAAAAGCTAAAACTTCAGCTTTTCCAGACAGGCATTTTTCTTGTGGAGAAAGATGCTTTATTTTTTGAAAAAAGTCTAATAGGTGTTAGATCCACTACTTGACTTTATTTTTAGCCAACTGCCCATAAGATTGTCTTTCATCACCTATTTAGAATCAATTAAATAATGTTTGGAAAATTTTGGAGAGTTATACTTCTGATTTTGTTTCAGGTTGGTATAATCATGTACCTCCCAACCATGGATGCTCACCAAAGGAAAGACATAACAGAAGAATTCTTTCATTATAGGCATCTGACTTGTGTGAAATTATGGGATCATTACTCAGCTTATGAACACTGGGCTAAGATTGAGGTAATTATCTAAGCATCATAAATAATTCAAAATGATCCAACATGGTCTTTGGATATGATATACCAATTTTTAACTCTTAATCAAAATTCTTTTGATTTTTGTCGTAATATCTTCGTATTGATCTACCAATTTGACTTGTTCTGCATACTATCTTCGACCTATATTCCTGCAGTAGGAAGTTCTCTTTCTCACCCATACATTCCCCCTGACCCACACACACACACAAACAAGTGCACATGGTCATGTTTATTTATGGGGTTTGTTTTATAACTGAACTGTAAATTGAACAATGTTATCTGTGAATGCCAAGTACCAGTTCCAGTTTTAAAGGTGCATCCTGCTGATATTACCTAATTTCTTGATTGGAAATTGAAAGGAAAGTGTTTGAAGTATGCTTAATTTTTTTGTATTTTATCTGTTATCTAGGTTCCAAAAGACAAGGAGGAGCTTATAGCTCTCCAAGCAAGGCTAAGAAATCGGTTTCCTGTCGATGCATACAATAGGGCTAGAAGGGAATTGGACCCCAATAGGATCCTTTCAAATAACATGCTGGAAAAGCTCTTCCCACAGTCTGATACCGTATAAAATTGTGGGTTGGTTATTGGTCTGAACTTTTCCCTATTCTTTATGGTGAGTATATATTCAACCCTAATTTCTTGACTGAAATAACACATTTGGAACTTTGGGATGCAAAATATCTGGCACACAATCTGGATTATTATTATACATAAATATATTCTTTCAGTTGCATGGCAGATGCCTTGAAATCAAAGAAGCTTTTAAGAATTGTGATGTAATAATGTACATAGAGGAGCTGGGGTGAGCTTTACACTCGATTACTCATCCCATCAGAAAGTGGAAACATAAAGAAGGGGTGAAATTGGAGAGGAGAAAATCTGCTGTTGATGATATAGTTGTATGAATTGCTGCCCTTTAGATATGAATTGTGTCCATCGTATTTGGTATTTTGCATTCAATTTGGCAGGCATTCTGCCCTTCCAACTTGTTTTCCTAAGGCATGGTGTGCTAGAATTTAAATTTGGAGGTTTTAGCTTGTATTGATTAATGGACCATAGCCTTAAAATGTATTTTTTTTTTCTGTGAAAAACTGGTTGCTACCCTTCGAAAGAAAGCAAAGGCGAGCTCTCAATACTAGGACTAGTTCTCATTTAACAGAATTGGAAAAAAAAAAAAAAAGCAGCAATTGATGCTAGTAAAATGTAGTAATTATAGAATGCGATTACTCCGGTACGCATCTTTTTCGTTTAGGTATTGGTACATAGTTATGGTAACATCCATAGAGAGAGATATTTTTGTTTTTTATTTTTTCCAGACTCCTTCACGTGTGTCGATATATATTGCCATGTTTTATGTTTTTCTTAATTAAATTTTTTTAATTTAATAATTTTTTAAATGAAAGTGATAAAACATTTAATATAAATTTTATGTATTAATATTTTATTTATGAATATTATATAACTCTTTAAATTTAAAAATAAAATATTTGCCTTCTATTTCTCGTGTTCTAGCTGATTTGAGCAATTGAGTCATCGGCTTCAGAAGAACAAAACCCAAGCAAATCGGGTTGAATCCCAGTTTATATTTTTACAGACAGAACCCAACCTAATATAAAAAAATTTGTAGAATACAGAACCATACCTAATATTAAAAAAAATTGTAGAATAACACTCATCTTTACAAGCTTCTTTCTAAGCCAAGGCCTAATGGTCCTTTTAAGTTATTACCCTTTTTTATTCTCTATTTGAAACTCTAAAGTGAGGAGAACACCTCCATTGCCTCCCTTGGTTGTTGCAGTCATTGTCCTTAGCCAATAAGCCACTCAACTATCATTTGTGCAGTCCAGGGCTTGATTGTGTGCTCACTCATGTTTCTCGTTGAGACAGTGCACAAAGTGGTTCGGTGGTTCCTCTCTTTAGAAGCTATTCGTTGGTCGGTTGCCCTTTGCTCATCTTCTTCAGCGTTGTTCCCTCTCATGTTCAATGGCCCTGTGGCATTGCCTTATTCAGTGGCTCTTTTCCCGACCTTTTCACATAGGATTTAAATCATAATCAATTTTATTTATTGGCAATTCATAAACATCTTTTTATTTCCCAGTAATTGAAAGCAAGAATTTTTTCCGAAGAGGTTAGTTTCAATTTTCTAAGTGCAATATATTTAGGGTGCTTCGTTGATACTCTAAAGTGTTTTATTTTTTTTTAAGATTAGGTGGAACTTGCTAGAAACCACATTAATGGATACTGAATTTGGAATACGAATAGCTATTGTAATTTTTTCATAAGATTTGGTGGTACTTGCTCGAAACCATATATTACCTGTTATGATCCATTTAATGTCATACGTCTTTACGTCCTCTACTTTTTCAATGCTTTTACCATAGAGTGGACCCAGTAATAGTCGGGTTGTCTAATAAGATGCCCAAAAAGACAAACCCAATCCAATTCAACTAGTTTGGTCACCTGTGGTGACCCTTCATGTACATGACCTTGTGGATATTTGAATTTCAACTCTTCTCTCTATGTTGACCCCAAAATGAAAAACACTCTTCTTCTTTTTAGGGAAGACCAAGGAATCTAGTTTTATAGTGAATTGCATTGATCTAAAAGCATAGTTTTATGAATCGATTTGACCACAAAACTGATGAACTAGTTAGATGTTTCTTCCCCTCAATTTGAAGATTTATTTTTTCATATATTTTTTTTAATTCAACTAAATTCACTTTTTTAGCCAAATAAAGGCATGATGTCTAGGGAAGATTATGAGTAAGGTTTGGACAGAATATTATGGTATCTATCTCTACGTTCACATTTTTAAAAAACTACTTGTCCTTAAATCATACTTGCATAAGTAACAATTATAGTGTCCACTCTTGTACTTTTAGATGTTTAAATATTTATATTGAACCCATTACTCACACTTTCAGCAAGAGTACTATTTCATATTCTTATAAAAGAAAAAAATTTACTCAATCAAATTCAAAATAATAAAGTAAGTTACAAAACATAATGTATCCCGTGCTTATAAGACATAAAATAATTTACTTGAATTCACGTTTAATATAACAAAAGAAGTGCGTGCTTGGATTTACGGTGAATGGCATCACACTTCCGGAATTTGGATCCTCTCCAGCCAAATTTCAACATATTTTGAATGGTTAAGATTAATGAGAGAGAAAAAATGAACGGTATTAAAATATTACTATAACTGCTGAAATACCTGCTCACAGAGAATCCAAATCCAAAGCTCCGTCTATCATATAGAAGCTGCTCTTTCTTGTGTTGGAGTTGATGTGCGTTCATCTGATACGAATGTTGATCCAAACACACTGGAAACCTTAACCAGCAACTACTTCTCAACCAAACATAGATGATGAAGCTACAGCAATCCAAGCACACAGCTAAAGAGAATTGAAGATAGCTAGAATTTCAGTTTCAAGATGAGAGGATACGAATATAATTTGAGTTTGTGATTAATTATAAGGCTCTGAGTGTAAAATTAGTTTTATATTTTAAATAACATGCTGGTATGAAGTAGATTAAATAATAAAGTACTCATCTACATTTATTTCCATAAATTTTTGCCAATAAATACTTAGATCCGGATTCAAATTCACTTAAAAGATAATTTCTCTCTATAACTTTATTAATATCCACTCAAAAAACCAATGCATGAAGTTCTTATGGATTGTTATCATTTGGCTTCTTATTATTAAAATTTCATGACCTACGATGGTCATGTTATGATAATTTAAATTTAGCGAAACTTGGTTCTTCTATTTTACATTAGTTTGTTGATTAATATATTACATAAAGTTAATATATATAAAATATGAACTTAATTATAATTAAACTAATGAACAGTAAATTAAAGAAAAGACCTTTATTTTTAATCTAGTTTTTAAAACACTAGCAAATACCATGAGCAGTAAATATCTCGGAAACAACGCTGATATTCCAGGTAAGGTATTAATAATACTAAAATAAGTTTGACTAGTCAATGCCATTAAAACAAATTCTTAGCCTTGGGGCAAAACAATGACAGTGGTTGCTAATATAGAACTGCTCCAATAATTTGAAGTGAGAAGCATGTTTCAGTTCACTGAGGCAGCAGCTGCTGCCATAGATCAAAGAATGATGATCCAATCAATTGTCTAATGAATGTCCTCTTCTAGTAAGCCGAAGCTTCTCTTCATCCTTCTGTTGTAGGTTAACTTGTTTTCTACCATGAGGCATTTATCATGTTTTCATCTCAACAAATAAACGTGATTAATTGTAGTAGGGTGAAATGATTTATTATTTATATTAAGTCGGATCAACTTGCAGTTAAGCAAACTCCATGCAAGGTGAGTATACTCATTTTAACAGTAAGTTGTTTAAATTTGGTGTGCCTTGAGTCTAATACATAAGTCATACTTCAAATGTGTAATCTTTAAACAAGTATAGTTGTATTACTAACGAGCACATGATATGTTCACGAGTTATACAGAATATAAGTCATTTTTCTAAAACACGACTTATCATGTAAATTAAATCACCTAAATGTTGTGCGTTTTATTGACTACTCTTGTATAAATGTTTATTGAGAAGTTGTTTGGTTATAATATATTTTTCTCAATTATAAAATTAATATCACATAAATGGTTAAAAGTTATTATATACCTATTCATTATATTGGTGAAGTTACAAATACTATAAAGAGAGTTTACTTTCAATAGTAAATAACGATGTGCATTGTTATCTATTCAACTATACAATTTTTGTAATTACAGAAGAATATATTTCAATAGTTAAGCCAGCCAAATAACAGAGAAATTAAAGAGATGTTATACAAGTTGTCCATGACAATAGCTTAAAGCGTGATAAATAATAAAGAGTATGATGTTCAATTTTTTAGCCTAATTTTTAAAGATTCACATAATAGAGATATTCATAACTTTGCAAAAAAATCAATTCAATTCTAAAAATTTTAATAGTTATGGATTAATTATTGGAGCATCTTATTCTGCAATAAATGAGGTTAGCATAAATGACCGATAAGTCGGAAGAAAATATTGGTGATATTTATCTAATGTTAGTAATATTATTTAGATTGCAAATTGTTTCTTTCTAGGACAATTTATGTATTAAGTATTATTAAGATATATTTTAATTTTGTTTAAAAGAACATGTTTAAAAATAATATTTTAAAAATAAAAAAGTCCTAGTTATTAGTGTACATGATGGGATATTATATGTTTTGTAGTGAATACAACACATGACCCTTGTTTCAATGTTTGCCTGTTTTATTGGTTGATTGCCCCGTGAAGTAGCCTTTTATTTTTGGAGGTACCCTTATCTTTCGGAGGTTGTCTACTAATGCACCCAATCTGATTTTTGTGCATAGAACTTTGCAATCAGAAGATTATTCTTTTCTTTTCAGATTTTCAGTGGCTACTTTCGAATCAAATTCACCTGTTTGACCTTTTCTACTTTGTGGTTTTGTGCATCTTTCTTGTTCCTACTTGGATTTCGTAAAGAATAAAAATATGATAAGCATTTTTTTTGGTAGTGAAATATGATAAGCATTTGAATCATTAGCTTGAAAAATAAGGATATTCCATTTAGTTAAATGAGAAAACTAAAAACATAAGGTTCTCTTCCATTTATCTCATGTAATGTTAGGCCTGACTTGTTTTTCTTTCTAAAACTACTTTAAAATTGAAGTTTAAAATAAGAGTTTGAAAATTAATGTTAAAATTGTTCAATTGTTTTTATATATTTTTATCCTAAAATATAATTTTAACTTGAATCAAAATTTCTTGAATTATAGTATAAAATACTACTCCAAGTTCTCATGAATTTTTTTTAATACCTTTTGCTCGTTAGCATTATTGACTAAATGGGACATAAAATTTAAAAAGGGGAATATATGTGATTTTTCATTTTCATAAATGGTGATCTATCTGGTTTAGTGTTCTTTAATAGAGAATTGGAATAGGTGCGTATTAAATGAATTAAGGGATAGTTTAAGTACTATAAATGAATTGTTTGATAATATTATATTCAATAGTATTTTTACTCTCTCTAGTTTAGTGTATATGAGTGCTTTTTTTAAAAATTTTCTGATTTAATTAAAGAATTTTACATTTAAA